CCATAGATATGGAATTACACAGAGTGATATGAATAGTGAAATAAGGAAACTAAATATTTAAAGTTTTAATAATGTAACTGCATTCTAATGCATATTCAGGAATTATGTAGAATCTATAAATATCATCAAATGTTAATTGCAAAAATGCTATGATAGCTACTTCATTTTTGCAAATGGTGAAAAATAACTCTCTAAATACTGGGTTTGCGATTATAAAAGGTTAGTCTTTACTACCAGTCGCTGTGTATGTAACAATTAACACTAGCCCCAATGTAATATTTTTTAAATTAATTTAATATTTTTGGATAAACTTACATTTTTTTTTTTGTTAAAATATTAAAATATCAAAAAAAAATTAAAACATATATAAAAATATATCATATATAAAAATATAAATATATGTACAAATATAAATCAATATTTTTAACTATTATCAAAATATTAAAGTATTAAAATATGTATACTAATTATCTTGCCACTGCTGTTGGGGCAGCGCAAGTCTGTTTGTTCTTCTGATGTACAACAAAAAATAAAAAATTATTAAAAAATATATATAGATATTTTACCTAAAATCATTTTAAAGCGTTGATACAAAAATACTAAATAATTTTAAAGCATATACAAATATGTAAAATGGAGGCCAATGTCATATATGTAAGTTGTTAAAGAATTGTGACTTTTCACCAAATAGGACTTAAAAGGTTACTCGAACCACCATGACCATATCAGTTTTTTGAAGTTGTCATGGTGTTTGGAGTCTAGATGTGCAGTATTTCTGCATGAAACACTGCACATCCAGAAATATTGGCAATTGTGTGCTGGGGGCTAGTTGCACCCCTAACACATGTAATTTAGGTAACCAGAACTCTGTTCTGGGTTGTCTAATGTCAGTTCTGTGCATAAAAAAAGTCTGTTGTCGGTGCACATTGCACACTGCCAACACAAATAACAACCTCTCTCAAAGGCAGAGCCTTCAAGTGAAAGCTTGTGTCTGCTCTCCCTCCCACACTGATTGTATCCCTCCCCACCTCCCTATCCCATATGCTATATTTTTTCCACTCCATCCTATCTCCTATTCTTTTCCTTCCCTTTTCCCCTCCCCTTGTGGGCAGAAACAATATGCAGGGCAGACTCTTCCTATAGGCCAATTAGGCAGCCGTCTACGGCGCTGCTTAAAGGGGTGCACCGTCAGGAGCTATACTGCTCTGCTTGTCTGGCCGCCCCTCTAAGTTGGAGAAATTGTACAAATCATGCTGCCGGCCATGTTACCGGATGCTAGGGAGCACTTACATGGCTGCTGACTAGCGCCTGATATAACACTGGTCTGGCGGCATCAACCTCAGCCTCCTCAGCCAGGCCCCCCACAAAGACTGCCATTAGCGCAACAGCACAAGGGCGCTTCCATGTCTCGCTCTCACCCCTTGCCCTGTACTTGGGGACAAATGGGCAATAGCATAGCAGGGGCGGGGCTAAGAAGGAGTGAGGCAGCCAGGTGCAGTGAAGCCTACAGTAAGAGAAGAAAAGCAAAGTCATACATGCAATAAAGGTAAAAGAGTCAATGGGACATCACAACGTGTGTTTCTTAGAATTTGTGTTTGTGTAGGTCAGTCTGCTTGGGTCAGTGTGTGTGTCTGCATGGGTTAGTGTGTGTCTGTATGGGTCAGTGTGTGTGTGTCTGTATGTGTGTGTCTGTATGGGTCAGTGTATGTCTGTATGTGTGTGTCTTTATGGGTCAGTGTGTGTCTGTATCTGCATGGGTCAGTGTGTGCTCACGTCAGTCTGCATTCATCAGTGTGTGTGTGTGCGCCAGTCTGCATGGATCAGTGTGTGTGTCACTGCTGTCCGTTCTCAGAATACTCTTGCGACCCATTTTTTGCTCTCCACTGTGTCAGTATGTGTGCCTCGGTCTGTATGGGTCAGTGCGTGTGTCTCATTCTGCATGGGTCAGTGCGTGTGTGTCAGTCTGCATGGGTCAGTATGTGTGTATCAGTCTGCATGGGTCAGTGCGTGTGTCAGTCTGCATAGGTATGTGTCAATCTGCTTGGGTCAGTGTATGTCAGTCTGCATGAGTGGTTGGAGCAAATGGGGCGGCAATTTTTTTTATTTTTGCCAAAGCATTTTCTGGGGGGAACACATAGTAAAAAAAATGCCAATAGGGCATTATTTTATTAAAATTGAAAAAGGGTTGGGGAAAAGCATTTTTAAATCATGGGCTAGCTAATAATAATGCACATAATGTCTTTCATCACTATTTTAGACTTTTTCAAAAGTCATGAATTTTACCAGGTAGGAGCTGTACCTTTTCACTTGTTTTAATTTTTTTAGGTGTGTTATACTGACAGCCTATTGGGACTGCACTATATTGATCCAAGCGAATATAGAGAGAGAAGTGGAGAAAAATATTTGAGATAGACACTTCTGTAAGGTTTTAAACTGAATGCAATATGTTCACCTATCTGATTCATATTTCCAGTGTATTAATACTGGACCTATATAAATATTATCATCCAGTCCATTCATTTGTATTCACTGTTTATTAATTTCAGTGAACTATAAGAATCTCAGACATAAGCTGTGAAAATAATTGGCAATTTGTTTTCAACCATATTTATATTAAATTAATATTTTTATATTTATTCACTAAACGCCAAATTGTAGCATACTGAAAACAGAATAGCCAAATGACCAGAATAGCTGATATGGAAAAAGATTTTCACAAATACAAAACAGAGAGAAGAGCTGAACAAAAATTAGAGAAATAGGAAGGCAGCACTCCTGAGGATAACAGATTCCCTCAAATCCTTAAAACAACTAGAAGCAGAAAACAGAGATGCAGAGATACGCTTAATAAAAAAAGATTTACTTTGGCAATTTTAGCTTAAAAGTTGCAATTCAGTTTTCAGTTTATTACACTTTAATATTTCTGAAGCATCTGTTCCAGTCTGCAAGAAGTGGACACCGGGCAGGAGGTATGGAGGGGTCTTGGTAGAGAAGGTACAAAATTAGGTTTGTGCATGTAGGCAGGTGTCTACAGCGCCTAATGGGAAATCGGCCTTGATGTTAGATATAAAGATTACAGCAATTTCTATCAAAAATTAATTATACGGTTAATCATGCTCTGTTCTTGTAGTGTGCACTTTGCCACATCACTGCTATGTTCTTATTTGCACCAGTAACAAGGCACAAACCCAAATGTAACCTAGTTAGAACCATAGGCTTCAGCTCCATCTTAGACTATGCCAGTGGTAGGCAACCTTCAGCACTCCAGATGTTGTGCACTTCATCTTCCATAATTCTCTTATGGCCATAATTCTGGCAAAGCATCAGGGGAGATGTAGTCCATGACATCTGGAATGCTGAAGGATACCTACCCCTGGACTAGGCCAATCATTGTTGATTTACTGGTTACCTTGCTACCTGGTCTGACCATGTGAGTGAACATAATCACTTAAAATCTTTTCATCTCTTGCCCCTACACATATCCTTAACTACCCATTTGTGCTATAGATTTATTGCCACCTTATCTAGAAAAAGAGCAGTCTTATCTAGAGATTTACCAGGAGATTTTTCTTTGGATGTAGTATAGTATGCTAAAGAGTGATTCCTAGTTTTAGATCGCCATGGCTTTTATAGCATCAGGCAAAAACATATCGACAAAACCTAAAGATTTGGCCTCCATCTTACTATGTGATATATTACTGATATCAGTTAATCCATCTTAGAGAATTGCTGATGGACATAAGAGCTACAGTTCTACCATCTGAAAATAGATGCTGTTTCATTAGTCCATAGCACTGATATAGTTACAGTAAACTTGATGATATATATGGAAAAAAATAAGACATTGGTTCAAAAACTATTATACCTCAAAGTTAAGTAAGAATTTTTGTTTATGTAAGTTTTAGCCCAGTAGGAGCCATTTGTCTTTATTTCTCCTAGAATGTGTTTTGTATTCTACAGCTTTGCGAACATTCTGACATACAGAAGTATATACTATATTTGGCAATTCTATAACTGTGCTTGAAGTTCTTTACCACTCTATTGTTATTGACAGGGTACTTAAGATGGAGGCACCCAGCTGCAAATTTAAGACTCCTGGATTTCTACATATAATTAGATTTTTCACACTTCGCAAATATATATTTGTTAAATATAAGGAATAAATCATTTTTTGGGATGAGACAGTTTGTTAAAAACATAACCACGTTTAGACTCTTAATAACTTCTCACAATTTATACATTGTCAGTTCATGATCCCATCCACTTTTAGTTTGGAATTCTTCCTTCTTTTGTTGCTGGGGGCATAATTGTCTTGTGACAATAAAAAATTCTAAATCATCTATCTATTGATCATGGGTACTTCTAAGGTGTATCAATTGTAAAAGTGAAACACATCCATGCTTACTTTAATTACTGGTCAAAATAGCTAACTAATGTCAATTTGTGACTTCAGAAATTATCTTAAATAAAATCCCTACATATACTCCAAATACAATTGATGCATAACTCAATATAAGTTGAATAACCCAATAATTTTTTTACGAGCATAAGCTATATTGGCTCTATATTGAAAATGAACAAAAAATAGATTGAAACATATTACTTTGTAACGCTACTGAGTATGCACCGTACATTTGATTCTGAACATATTTATGCAATATTTTAAGGGTGTTAATTAGTTAAATGAAGAGTATTTGGTTGGGCCAATTGCAGAATAAATATGAAGTTTAATGGGGGCCCAAAGGAACAATAAATATTTTTTGTAAAAAATATGCTACTAAGTAGAATTTTAGTAAATCACTTTAAATGGTAGCAATAATTTCTATCACTGGTAATCTTAAAAACCAACGTTGAAACAATATTGCCAATGACTACACAATCCCATATCAGACATGGCATAATGAAATATTATTCAGTTCACATCACTCTTGATCTGCCAATGCATTATACCTGTACTTTTTTAGAAAGGAAGTGTTTGTACGTGTGCAATTGTTTCAAAATGATTTTCCAGTCGTCTCTAATGTGTAAATTAAGCAAAAAGCAGTCAATCATATGTGAAACGCTTAAACCAACGGCAACCATGTGATCATCTGTGTCAGACATAATGCACATAATGCATTCTCACATTGCTCAATGAAGCTGAAGAGAGTATAAAATGCTTTGTGGATGAACAGTTGGTCTTATCATCAACATCAAGAGAGTTCGAAAAGTAACTAAAGAAGAAGCATCATTTTATCTATCGTCAGAGACACACAAAACAGTAAGTATTTCTGTTTGGACTCACAAAACAAATGATAGTATTTTAATAAGAATTGATATTATATTATATATATTTTTTTATAAATATCTCAAATGTCTCATGCACTTGATTTTACAAATCAATATCATAGTTATACTAGTTACCATTGCATTATTTTATATCTACTTTTAACTTATTCTCTGTTTGTTCTATTTCACTTCGTTAATGTGTTTCTTATACTATACTATAAAAAAAAGTAATCTGCAAATATATTGAATTTATTTGGGTTGTACTGTTTTGTGGTTATAACTTACCACTGGTTTAATAACATCTCACTATTACAGAAACATTTAGCCCATTATGCATTTAAAGATCACAGAAAAAATTATTCATACCAAGTTTTCTTTCATTCTCAATAATTGCGGACTAATCAACTTCCCTGAATTAAAAAAGAAAAAATTTAAATATGATTTGATCACACTATTCAACTGTAATGTTTACAATTTAAATGCATGAAACATTTAGGAATTATTCTGCTCAATTTCTATCATCCAAATATTTAAATATTGCACCCAACTCGTTTTGCAAGTCTTTTTTTGCACTATAATATGTATTGCAATAATACATACTAAAATCACTGCTTGATGTTGCAAAGATAATTGTTGTGGAATGACAAATTAACCATTGCAAAAAAAACATCATTTTTGAGAAAAAGTACAGAACACAGAAGGCACTAGGCTCTATTCATTTGACAAGTAGTTGTGTTGATTTGATAAATAAGTAGACCAAAGAAGCAAAGCTGAACATTTTTTTAACTTAGATTAACTCGAGAATGTTCATTTAGAATAAAATTCAGTTCCCATGGCACTAACTTTGCTTTCTGAGTAAACCTATTGGGATATTGTCATAGAATAAAAGTTAAGGAGAAAACATGGTCATCAGTAACTAAGATGCAATGTTAAAAAAGTAGCTTTTTTAAATATTGAATGTACTTTATTATTCACTGTATGTAAGAGAAGATTGGCTAGGCTTAGTAAATAGAAGAGGCAAACCGGATTAGTCACTTACAATAAACTGTGCTAAATGAAAATATCATTTCTACTCATGTGGTAATCAGATAATAAAAACAGAAGTGTAATAAAATGTTACAATCGGATCAAATAAAAGAACAAGGCAGAAAACATTAAAAGTAAAACTGACAGTGGTATATCAAACATTAAAATGAAAATCACTAAGAAAAGAGCCCATTATATGCTGTTAAAAAGGTCCATCTTAGTAGATTCACTTGAAAAATGTTGTGTAATAAGAGTCCCAGCAGATCATCTGCACCGTCCAATTTAGAATACCTTGCCACTGCAATAGTTGCAAGGCACATTAAAATGTTTGCCCTCTGAGTTGCAGCCTGGCCCTAAAAACCTTAAATTTGCCTCTAAACCAGCACAAAAACAAGGCTTCTCCATGATTGTGGTTTAAGGTTTAGTCACTTAGCCAGGAATTGTTAGATGGGAAAATGTTGAAATAACTGCAATTTAGAACGTATCCATTTTTAGTCTGCTTTGGCTTAGAAGAACTTGATTATTAATTTTATTTTTGACTTTAAATTGCAGTACCTCAGTTGACTCGAGAATATTCCCAGTTTAGTGAAAAACCCAAATAGAAATAGGTCTATTGTAGGGTGGACGAGTGTTTCCACCCTCCCCCCCATCCCAGTTGGAACCGGACAACCATTTTACTTTCCTCTTATAAAGTCCACTCTCTCTGCAACAATAACTAAACAAACCTTATATAAAGTATGACGTTCTAGTAAAAAAAATATACCCCTTGTAATTGACTGACCCATTTTCCCCAAAACATTGGCAGTTTGGCTCCACCACTGGAAGGATATCCAGTGTATCAATTCACCAACTCTATTTTCCAGAAGAGCAAGTTATTCTTGTGCTACATGGTGGAGTATTACACACATCATCACCTGTTCCTGTGTTGTAGATTTGTTGTATTCAGTTTGCACAGTTATAGGGGGATTCTAGATCCAGTGGGATAACTGAACCCTTGTTTATGTTTATCACTGATGATTACATTGTTGACATCACACACAACGTATGTCATCTACATGTAAGAAAAATAAACATATGTCTCATAACAGATGGAAATAATACAATAACCATTTTAATGAAGCATCTGCCTCTTAAAATAACATAAAAAGTGTTTATTTCTCTTATCACAGATTCATCATGCGGAGCATTTATTATATAGTTGGACTGTTTTTTATGTTGCTTCGAGGAAGCTGGCAAATCCCCATCCAAGAAACAGAAGACAAATCAAGGTACGTTTAGAAAAACCTAGAAGGTTTTTCTGGATATAAGATGTAAAAATAATATTTTTAATTAAAAAAATCATTCCAGTAAGTATTGCGTTAAATGTGAAATGTGATTAAGCAGTAAACATATTGGTAAGCGTTTCATAATAACTCAAAGCATGTTAACAAGTTTAGATTTAGCAAAGTGATGTTTCCAACATTCCACAGAATTATTCAATAATTACACTGTATGTATTTGTCGTACATGCAGAATTCATGTACCATTAAAAAAAAAAAAAAAATAATAGTATTACTGAAAACATATTTCAGTATATGATGATATTAACTGATTTAATTTCCAGACCTCTTTTGTCAGAAAGCTTCAAAGTATTATTTTTATTAACAAATCCAATGTTTTTACAAAGGTTTTATCAACTTACCTTTTTATGGAACAATTAAGGGATGAAAGCATTAAAAAGCAAGGTATCTGCTTGTGAATTCTCTCAACGAGAATGTATACTATCCTATTTATGACAAACACCATATTGCCATAACAGAAAATATGAAGCTTAGAAAAAGATGTGTTGATAGCTGATTAGAGAAATTTAAATCAACACCGGATTTGCTAAATATTTTAATTCTGCATAATTTTACAAATATTTCTAGTGCCATTTAAACATTTTAAACTGTTTAAAAAAAAATAATAAATCTTTTATTGTAGCAAACCATTACTATAGCAATAAAACATTTGTCAATTATACTTATTAAAACTAAAAACGAAGATTTCTGAAAACATTAACATTTTAACAACGTATTTCTTGTATTTTTCTGTAATCGTTTTGTGTGGAAGAAATTGAACTTCTATTTTTTCTCCCCCAAAGCATGTTGTTGAAAAACAGCAGGATTTTTTAGGAATTGGGTTTCTCTTAAAAGGTTAGAGGAATATATCCTGATCTACAAAGTAATCATAATAGTTACTTAAATTCCAAATTAAAAATTGTATACGCAGATCAGTGAAAGCTGCAAGGAATGAAGCCCTAGATGATTCAGAACAGCTCAATGAAGTTAAACGTCATTCACAAGGCACATTTACTAGTGATTACAGCAAGTACCTAGATTCCAGGCGGGCTCAAGACTTTGTCCAGTGGTTAATGAACTCAAAAAGAAATGGGTAAGAATTCTAGAGTCAACTGTTGAGTTTACCTTTGTTTCAAATAATGAAACCTTGGTCCCTTCCATTGAATTCACCTTGTCCCCGATTCAGATGTCTCTCTTTGTTTGTTCGTTTCAGTCCATGTTCTTTCAGAATGGATACAAATGAGTACAAATCTGTGTTATGTTACCAATAACAAGAACCAAGATTGGTGGTATACTTTCATTTGCAGAAGGAAATATAAAAAAAAAAAATAATAGTTAAGAGATAACTAGTTTTGATGTCATCTGTGTGGCAAATGAAAGTTGGAAAATGCACAAATTGTGAATCTTAAAAATTTGACGAAGGCAGTATTTCTCTATTTTCTGCTTCATGGGGGCTGAATTATGAACTATTAGATACAATTTTCATTGCTTTGTGTTGTGAAAGTTAAATTACAAACAAAATTCATGTTTTTCAAGACAATAGAAGAACTTAAATTAATCACATCAGGGATAGACAATTAACCTCATTCGATATTCTAAGTAAATTTACCAATACCACAGGTATTCCTGGGACATTTTCTGTTACTTTATGAAGTAGAATACTAAATACAAAAAAAAAAAAACAATCTTTTAACTTGTATCATTGGGTTGATACGTGAATTTCTCTAGGTGAGTCGGGCAATAAAATGGAATGTGCTCTACGGAGGATAAAGGATATTAAATTTAGTCCACAGGCAGATTATTGTCTCATAATCATTCGAGTGGTATATATTGATCTGTACCACTTTTAGCTTTTGCGGGGGGCTAGGAGAAGAATTTGCCTATATGGTTCCTTTTCTGTAAAAGAGCAAATATATCACTTTCTAATGAAACAATAATCTTCCTTGGCTGCTTCTGGTTTCCTACCTTTCTCCTGAGAGGTGTGCATCAAGAAAACACAGAGCAGCAGGAGGTATGTGCAGTTCACAGATCGCACCACACATTTGTCTACACTATCTAGAGATGTTTTGCCACCTAGTACACACTGATATCAGACAAAATGAGGAGGTGAGTTCTGTCCACTTGCTGTACACACTGGATGGTAAGAGAGCAGAGAGAGATGTATAGATGGTGGTACATAAGCAAAAGCACAAAAATTCTACTGCTCCAAATTGTTTAGTGACCGGACATCACTGCAGGGGAACAGGTAGGCAGTAGGATGATTATTAAAAAAGCTTAACTGCAGGCCCTAAGAAGCAGTAAAGGTCATGGGGTACAGGGCAAACTTGCCCTTCCTAATGGTGGACCTGTTTTGGGAAAGATAATTTTGGATTTTCTGATGGAGGCATACTACATGAATACTTGTTTTGTTTTATTTCCACCCGTACCCATTAGTTATTAGAATGACATACTCTTCTTATTGAAAGTGTCATGTATCTGTTATTTAGTGTGGTGAGTCCACTTTATACAGTATGAATGAATTATCCTGGTATTCAGGATAATTCATTGTCTAGGTCAGGCATAGGCAACGTTCGCCACTCCAGATGTTTTGGACTACACATCCCATGATGCTTTGCCGGCATTATGGGTGTAAGAGCATTATGGGGGATGCAGTCCACAACATCTGGAGTGCCGAAGTTTGCCTATCCCTGGTCTAGGTTATATACTCAGAATACTTAATTACCATTCATTTAAAATAGGAAATTCAGGGAAGTTCAAATATACATGGAATCTAAATCTATGCATGGAATCTGTCTAAGAAATGTTTTTTTTCTTATAGTGTTTATGTTTATTTCTTATACTTTTCTAATTAAATAACCATGATTTAAATTCTGTATTTTGATTGGCTGAGAACACCAAACAGCCAATCACAATAGAGCTTTGATTTTTAATGGCATTTATGTTCTTTTTTTTGTTTTGTCCCTTCCTGCCCATCTCATTACTTGCTTTCTCCACGATGCGGAGCTGCTTGCAATACAAAACACATAATAAACAAAACTCCAAACTTTAACACACATACATGCTTTAATCGTTGGTTTTGGAGTATATTATTCTGAAACTGCCATAGATTTTAGAGGTTTGAACATGATTTCAGTTATGAAAGCCAAGGAAATCCTGGTGCGAGTTTATTTCCTTATATACTCACAAATGTATCTGGCTTTCACAGCTAGCTAGGTCTCTTTGATATATAATTGAATCCAGACATGAGCATGCGTTGCCTTGAAACATGTGTCCATCTGTTTTAAAAATGTTTGTTGCTCACTTGGGCTAGTATTAAAGCATATGAATTGTTCAGAATAGGATTATGCTCAAAGAGCCTCTTTAAGGGGGAACTAACCCCCTGTTCCTCTTACCTTCGTAACTAACATTATAAGTAACAAAGGATTATAATGAAAAATGTGCAGTTGTATTTTGAATGCTTTTCACCCGCTTGCAGTAATTTGATCAAACATATACACCAACAACTATAATTAAATATTAGATATCACTAGATAAATTGACAAAATTTGTGAACAGTGGCAGGCTTATGGTATGTTTTATAGTATTTTGTAACAAACCGATTTTATAAACTATATTGGCTTTAAGGCTTGCTTCATTTTATTTAGTTAGTATGCAAATGTATAAATTATAGAAAACAATTTAGAAGAACAAGGAATCTAAAATGCTAAATTAAAACAGATTTTTTTATAGGCATTTTCAACCCGAATTCAAGGTTATTCTCTATCCTGGGATTTACAAACAATTCACAGTGGAACTGCAGTTTTTAGCCCAAGACAGTAAAATGAACATTTTCAAATTTAGCTATTTTTCCAGCTTGTTTTTCTGGCCTACAATATGCAGTTCTATTTTCAAATTTCTAGAATTCCTATTCTAGTGAACAGCCTTGGATTATTTCTACAATATGGCCTTGAATGAACATATAATAGAAATGTGCCAGATATATTCTCTTCTCAAGAGTATACAAATATGTAGAATCCTCACTGTAAACTCGATTAGCATGTTGCATAGGTTTTGCTCTGTTTATATGGGCCATAAAATCCATAACCACATGGAACACATACAAATGGTAATACTAGGAGTTAAAGCACAAAATAACTTTAAATTAATGGAGCAATTTTGCTGTATAGATCAAGCCCCTGCAGTCTCACTCAATTATCTGCCATTATCTGCCATTTAGATAATTAAATCACTTTGTTTATAAAGCCCTAGCCACGCCTTTCATGCCTGAGACTCACACAGCTTCCTTCCAAACATCCTGTAAATAGAGATTTAATTTTTAAACTTCATGTATGTTTCATTTAGAATTTCCAATAGTGCCTTCAATGGGGACATGAGTGTCAGAACTGGACCATAGTTCAATAGAAGAAGGTTGCCTGGTCTAATGAATAATGTTATTCTCTGGACAATGTTCTGCTGCGAAACTTTGGGTCTTGACATTCCTGTGGATGTTACTTTGACACCTACTGCCTTCCTAGAAATTGTTGCAGACCATGTACATCCTTGTACCAATGGTATGCCCTGATGGCAGTGGCCTCTTTCAAAATGATAATGCACCCTGCTACACTACAAAAAAAAAGGTTTAGAAATGGTTTGAGCGGCATAACAAAATATTTTAATATGTTGCCTTGGCCTCCAAATCCCCAGATCTCAATATGATTAAGCAATTGTGGGATGTGTTGGAACAGGGGTTCTCAACCCAGTCAACAGGTACCCCTTACCAGTCCAGGATTTAGGGATTAACCTGTTGTGTCTAAATTGTTTATTTTTCTTTCTAAAAACACCTTAGACACAACTGGGTAATCCCTAAATCCTGGAATGTTAGGAGGTACTTGAGGACTGGGTTCGGAACCACTGTGCTAGAACAACAAATCCTATCCATGCAGGACTTCCAGGATCTGCTGCCATGATCTTTTTGCCAGATACTACAGGACATGTTCAAAGGTCTTGTGGAGTCCATGGCTCTACGCATCAGAGCTGTTTTGGCTACATGAGGGGGATTTACACAATATTAGGCCGGTGGTTTTAATGATGTGTTTGATCAGTGTAGACTTGTAATGAGATTAAAATGGTTGCATTTAAAGTAACACTCCAAACATCTAATCCATCTGAAAAGCTTATACAAAAATATATTAAATCGAGGTCAAAATTTCATGTTTTCATTGGAGGGGACTGTAAAACAATCTAACTATTATTATGGCACATAATCTCTTACCATTATGTTAAAATAATTGTGGTCAAAGTCTGTAATGATTGCGTAGAAGATATCAGAATGACTTCCTTAGAATAGATAGCTTTCATAGAGAGCAGTTCAAACTCCAGAGTCAAATCGATGCCATGATCTGGTTGTTTTACAAAAAAACAGGAATATGAATGAACACTTTTTATAAGATTCCCACAGAGGTATAGGAATCTGTGTTTAGAACTCAGAGAGATTTATAGGCTTCTTCCTACTCAAACAGGAATCTGAAGTTTGTTCCCAGATGTCAGCTTTGAAAAAGTATTGCAAGGTTTTTTCATAACGATTACAAAGTACTTTGCAAGCAATGTTATCACATTTATTTTCTACCACCAATTTTAATGTTAGAGCTTTAGGTTTCTCAACTGTCGCATCCAAAATAAAAAAAAGAGTTTAACCCCTTAAGGTCTAAATGACAACATGGGATGTTTTAATTGTTTAGCATTTGCACATTTATACAGCCCAGCTGCTGTTAAAGGAGGGAAGGGTTCCATTTTGATATAATATGTTTAAAAACTAGTCTGCTGTTTGTTAGTCCGTTGTTGGTCCTTAAGTGTTTAAATAAAGCACTTTTCTACAAATGTTGCCTGCTGATTTTGTTCTAATCCTTATACAAAAGAAAGCTATAACATTTAGTCTAAGTTTTTGTATAATATTTCTCTTGGATCATTTTCCCTTAACTTAGGTAAAGATAGAATGTTTAGACAAATAAAAGCTAAATTTGTGCTTGTTTGTAAAATACGTGATTATTATTATCTGTGTGCGTGTATTTATGTTGTATTAGTTTGTGTTTGTTCCCAGCCTTGAATAAAATCTTCACATTTCTTCCTTTAAGCCCATAAGATGAACCTTTGTTTCTTGAAGACTCAAACATTCAATAACTGTATTTACTTTATATTATTTAACTTTTATGTTTATTTTTCTAGAGGTGTTGTACGACGCAATGTTCAATATGAAAGGCACGCAGAAGGCACATACACCAATGACGTAACTCAATATCTGGAAGAAAAAGCAGCAAAAGAGTTCATTGAATGGTTGATAAAAGGAAAGTCAAAGAAAATGTAAGGATAAAAAATATAATACATATAGTGTTTTTCTTAACTTGTAACATCAACAATTATAATGGGGTGTTTAAGTTTTCTTTTGGGGTTATGTTTGACAAACTTACCAATTCAAAGGTTTTTCACATTATATATCCTATAATATATCCTATCAAGTTAAAATCCGGAATATTTTGTAAAACACAGCACTTTGCTTTGGTTAAAAGTTGTGATCCTATGGGCATCATTTCTGGATCTATTGTAAATAGAAGGTACCACAATTTTAAACATAAGGAAATATATTACACAGTCACATAGATGATAAATAAAATATATATTTTTTCTCTCGATAATATTTCTTAAAAATCTTTCCCAAAGAGGGGCGGAGCTTGGCCGCCATACTGAGTGGTCGCATGGTTGGTGAGCTTCTCTCTTAAACCTTAATAAAACGATGAGCTCACCGACGCCTAATTGACATTAAACATGACCCACAAGTGCTGAATGACTAACGGATGGTTACCGGAGCGATCGAGTGACCCGCAGGGACTGAAATCTGACTCTAGATAATTGCTGCCTAGCGAGAACTGGGCAGGAGGGACGGCCAACCTCCTAGACGTGAATATAAAAGACCTTGCAACGGTTTGAGTCCCTCTGGACCAGCGGGGGTTATCCCAGTCCACACCAGCTTGCAATTCATGCTGACGACAACCTTTACAGCTGCACCAGCTCAGTGCAAACCACTACCGCAAAACACAAGATGGCGGCTATTCTCCCGCAGAGTGAACCCGTGTCCTTGATCATCAGACCCTACACATACTGGCCTTGTGCTTCCCAGCCTTGGGAGTGGGCTGACAGATTACTCACCTGCCAGGGAAGACCCACTACTTACAAATTGGGACTTATTATTATTATTATGATATTTATATAGCGCCATCAAATTCTGCAGCGCTTTACAATGGGTGGACGAACAGACATGCAGTTGTAACCAGACAAGTTGGACACACAGGAACAGAGGGGTTGGGGTAAAATGACACAAAAAGGTAAGGATAGTATTAGACTAGTGACAGTTGCAGAAGAGGAATCAGTCAGGAGCTATTAACAGTTTAATTGATTTGCTTTTATGAAGAAGTGGGTTTTTAACGATTTTTTTTGAAGGAGTGGAGACTGGGTGAGCATCTAACAGAGGAGGGAAGCAAGTTCCACAGGAATGATGCAGCCCTCGAGAAATCTTGAAGGCAAGCATCAGAGGTGGGAGTACAGACAGAAGATAGACGTAAGTCTTTAGCAGATCGTAATGGCCTAGACGGGACATACTGTGTAATAGGGGAGATAGATAGGTGGGAGCAGCATTATGTAGAGATTTGAAAGCAAGAAGCAGAATTTTAAATTGAGCTCTATATTTTATAGGAAGCCAGTGTAGGGACTGACAGAAGGGTGAAGCATGGGAGGTGCGGGCGGACAGGAAGATGAGCCTCGCTGCCGCATTCATTACAGATCTAGTCATTGTGCCTCAAGCTGCAATCTTGATCACTATAAGCAGAGAGCTCCATATACCTGTTTGTTATGCTTAAGTTATTAGTTAAATCATTTTTCTTTTCGTGCAAATAGCTAGACGCAGCCATGCTGAATATGCCAGTGCTTTTCCACTCTATATTCTGATCAACACACGTTTAGTTAAATCTTTGTTTCCTATGCTATTAGTACAAATGTGTAGATACCCTAGGTAACCTTTAACCATGTGTCTTAACCCCATCTAAAGATGCCAGCTTATATCTCGAATGCTGTTAGGACACGGCGGACCTAAATGCTTATATATCTTTTACCTTAAAAAATTGTGCCTAAATAACAATTGTTACATACTGTACTGCATGTTGAATTCCTATATACCTTGCTACCGCTGTTATGGCGTACTGAGGCTGTTTGTGAAATATGTGCACAACAAAAATAAAGAATTTTAAAAAAAGCCCCCCAAAAATCTTACCCAAAGATTTTAAATTGCTCACAAACAGTTTAACCCCAAATGCTGCTCGCCAGCCCCAGGTCTCCCTGTCCCCAGCGGGATCTGTTTTATCCAATTCAGTTTGAGGACGCATAGATTGCTGCTGGGCAGGAGTGCTGCTGATGGACTCTAAGCCAATCAGTAGATGCCCACTCAAAGAATAGGTATGTACCATTTTTCATGAATTGTTTAACTTCTTTGGTTAAAAAAGCATTATGGACCTCCTGGCACCATAACAACATCATTGCAGTTTTTATGGTGCCCAGAGTATTGCTTTAAACAGAATGAGTACTTCCCTACTACATTTAAGAAAAAGAAAGAAAGAAAAGAAAAATATGTAAAAGTACTGTAAAAGAAATATGTAAAATGCGCTTTTGAATTCACTTTGAATTGTTCTGCAAAAAATTCTGATTTCATTTGAATTATTCTGTTGATTTTTTTAAATAGGAGATTCACAAGACACGCGGAAGGAACATTCACAAATGATATGACCAACTTTTTGGAAGAAAAAGCTGCCAAAGAATTTGTTGATTGGCTAATTAAAGGACGGCCAAAAAGGAAGTAAGACATATAATTAGCCTGTATGATTAATATTAGTTTTAGGTCATTTTAAAGAACATGTTTAAACTGTGTTACTGACATGATCAATGTATAAATCTTAAAAGTATATGGTGTCACTAATATGATGTCATAATGTTGCATATTAACACATTTATTAAAAAGTTACTCCAACCACCATGACCACTTCAGTGTTTTAAAGTGGCCATGGTGGTAGGAATATGTATGTGCAGTGTCCCTGCTTAAAAAATCTGCACATTCAAGGTTATTTCTGATTGTGTGCTGGTGGCTAGTTGCACCCCCAGCAAATGTCACCTAGTCTGCCCAGTACATTATAAGTATAACATTTGTATATTTAATGTTTTCTACAGATATGTAAATATTATTATTATTATTTTATTATTTATATAGCGCCATCAGATTCCGTTGCGCTGTACAATGTAGATATATATATATAAAATAATATATATATTTATAATATATAAATGTTAGACTTATGCAGTTCTAGGTCACGTGTGCTTGGAGTGCAATGTAAGATTAAAAAATATAATACATTATATATTATTTCTCTTAACTTCTGATATCAAACATTGTAACGTGGTGTTTAAGTTTTCTTTTGGGTTTAACTTACTTGTGTTTGACAAACCTACCAATTCAAATGTTTTTCACATTATATATCGTATCATCTCAAACTCCTGAATATTTTGTAAAACACAGCACATTGCACATTATAAGAAGAGTAAATTCATGGAATGTGCTGTAAACATCTTTTGAGCAAATGGTCATTGATAGGATACATGCAAACACACATCACATTTATTAGGGTGTGATCCAAGTTTTGTTTTTTATTTTCAAGAAAAGGCAAACATTTATTGATTAATCAATCAACCTAACATTTTACACAATTTCACAGTGGCGATGTTTTTCTTTACATTTCTAAACATTTCAACACATATAAAGTTTTTGCTAAAATGCTTTTACTTAAAAGTTTCTCAGAAGTGAACAGCATTGAGGAAATGGACAGAAGACATGCTGATGGCACTTTTACAAACGATGTCAACAAGGTGCTAGATATTATTGCCGCACAGGAGTTCTTAGATTGGTTAATTAACACCAAGGTTACCGAGAGGTAAAGATCAAAGCTTTTCAAGGCTTTTCTGAACATTGTGTCGTAACTAATAATTCCCAAATAATTCAAATTTGATTTTAAACTATTAAGAGTTAAACTCAACAAGGAAATTGCAAGTATGCCACAATATCCAACTTTGAAATATAGCTGAATTGGATATTGTGTTCCAATTTTTAATTTCAGCCTACAATTTTTAATTCCCATTTCCATTACACAAACTCACATTGGATTATTTACTAAACTGGGAATTTTGTGAAATTACAAATAATTGACCTGAATAGCAAAACTGGAAAATATTCACCAATTTACTTTGGTCCAAACTTTCTAATTCACTTGTCAATTCTCAACAATTGGCAGGGAGTAAGCTAACAAACTCTTTAAATCACAAGAAATACTTTAATGATTTATATTTATTGGTAAATGTCAAACCCTTGCTCACAAATAAGGTTTTACCTTTTTATTTATTTATTTTTTAATAAAATGAATGCTTACAATAATTAATAAGACAATAGTTTCAGCAATAAAACTAAGAATGCCTAAGCATTTTATAATTTTTTTTAATGATTTTAAAAATTGTATATTGGTTAAATGTCATTTTTACATGACAATTTGATAAAAATTAAATATAATGGCATCGAACAAAAAAAAGTGACTTTCGCTTTGTTTGTAATAGACTGGTGATTGGAGATTTCTTTATAATACTTTAATTAAAATTGAGTTGTACGTTTAGGTCAAACGTAAAACTTGAGTTGTATTTTAAATAATGTGTATCACCAGATTTTTGAAACAAGGATGGACATTTGCTTGTTTATGATTTTTGCTATTTGCAGTGTGTAATCAATTTTTGTTATTTGTGATCCAATGTAGTTTACGCTTAATTGTGCATCGTTATGATTAATAAAAACACACAAATCAAATCAGTTTTAACAAAAATGATGATTAGTGAGTTGTAGCATTACTTTAACAGGTATTCTTGTTTTGACTTTCATAGAGACCTACTGGAGGAACAATAAAATCAATATCGACTTGCCTTCAACAAGGAATTACCCAGCTGTCACATGGAAATGTTGAATTTGTGTTCTGTAAATTCAAGCAGGTGTTTCATAAAGCCATAAAGTATAGCTTTGCATGCAAAGTAAATGACATTTACAATCGTGTTTTCTTGTTGGGGGATTACACAAAGAACAGATAATTTTCAAATGCACATCTAATGTGATAGGTTTAACTCGTTTTGTAATGGCCGGACTTGTTGAATACTGCTTTGCGAGTCCTGCCGGAGCTACGAGGGCTTAAATCCAGAAGTGCCATTTTCTTGCCCTAATAGTTGCAGTAAAAAAGTGACAAAAACCACAAAAAAAAAGGAAAGAAAAATAAAACTTGTTTAAAATTAAAAGAATATAACTTATTTTTCTATGAAGTTGAATTGTACATAGAATTTACTCCAATCAACTGTGTCAGTAAACAATGATGAATGGGTTACCCTGTTTGAAATGTTTATTATAAAATGCTAAGCTTTCTGAATATTAACTAGTAGCCTTAAATAAAGTTTTTCAAGCTTCATATTGATTGTTTTTCTACTTATTTGGGGGCAAAATGTGTTGGTGTTGAAAAGGGAACTGGAGAGAGTAAGCTTTGATTAATATAAATAAGGAATTGAAGAAGGAAGACTTTGTTGGTAATAGGCTGGGTATTTGTTGGTAATATTTGTTAATGGCTATAACATATTTGAGTATAATATTATAATTGTCATGTGTCTAGTCACTCTCTGGGGTAGATTTTCCTAGTTATTGATTTGGAACATTTGACCATCCTGATCTTGTGATATCCTGATCTTTTCTTTGCTACACATTATTGGGATTTTTATATTCCTGACTTGCTGAACCTACGACTACTTTGAAGCCTTTCGAATTCTTGCATTTATTTGGCCACTTTAACCCCTTAAGGACACGTGACATGTGTGACATGTCATGATTCCCTTTTATTCCAGAAGTTTGGTACTTAAGGGGTTAAGGTCTAGTGCCTAAATCTCCCATTTTCCATCTTTATTTAAATGACTTCCATTTGCATATTGGGTTTTATCTAATCTAAACTAATCTGAACATGAAGGTAATACATTTTGGTGAGGACAAATAAGAATTTGCATGGTTTAGCTTTGTGGTGATGGGTTGTGGATTAGAGGGGGCGCTTGATCTTGCTGCATGATATATGGTGTTGATGATGAACAAAAGTAGAAACACACATGAGTTCTAGTTAAATTTAAACAGATTGTAAAAACCCTTAACTTCAATCAATGTGACAATTTCAGTGTTATTAAAGCAACTCCCGAAACGTAGCAGAACGTTCCCATAAATATAATGGAGAGAGGTTTGCACACATTTGAAATTCTCGCTTGGTAACTTATGATATTAATGAAATTGGTATCACACATGGACACATAGTGCTAGTAGTATAGCTAGCTTGTATAATAAGGGTTGGTATTTCCATTACCATTTCTCAGACAGTATACCTTAGCAAGCCAGCTCTTAGCTACAACAGGAAAGTTTAGAATTTTCTTTTATTCGCTCCTCGAGGCTATACTGCCTCCAACTGGGTTATGGGATTTTTTTTCTTTCCTCTTTAATTATGCATATGAATCTCTTCCCATTACATCAGAATTATAAGACGGGTTTTGCAGTTACAAACTGTCCACACAAAACTAGAAAATTAAAATTGAGTAAAATGACATCATTTCATTTTTAGGTATTCATCGGAACATGGACTTTATCAAGACAAATTTTACATTTGATGCTCCATTATCTGTTGTAGCTATAAAAGTAATTACAGAAACTTCAGCACAAACATTTCAAATTATTGGTGCTCATTCATTAGGTGGTCACAACACCCATTTCTTCAAACCCATTTATTTATCCTTTATACAATATCATTCCATACTGAATGCAACAATCCAAAACGTGTTATGATTTCATCCCATGATCCTATGTGCAGTGTCATTTTATCCTACTTTCTAATTTGTCATAATTTCATATTTCACTCATAGGCCTCGTCATCTAATCACATCCCTTTACATCACATTATGATGGCGTCAGACACCAAATCTCCAAAGAATTCACATTAGCCACCCAGAATTATTGTTCTGGGTTGGCAAATGACACCTCTTAATTTAGATCTCTTAAATGGTTTGGTAGATAACTCCCTTATTTGCTATCTTTATGTGGGATTGCCATTTTAATGGAAACCAAATAATCAAGCTGTTAAACAGTGCCCTAACTTGGTATCATTAAATATGGAAATGTCACATAAAGGTACCAATTTATGCAGTTATCTACTAAACAGCTGAAAGATCAAAATTCAGAAAATCCTCTCCTTATGTTGGATTGCCATATATAAGGATACCAAATTTGGGAGCTTTCTACTAACCACATGCACATTTTCACGAGCACACAAACATAATCAAATAAACATACACACCAACAATCACAAGCAGTGGTGTATCCTGGTTTTGTGCTGCCCTAGGCAGGACAAAACTCAGGCGCCCCCCTCCCCCCGCGCAACCCCCACCCAACCCTTCCCCCTGCCCCACCTTCTAAATACACACACACACAGTCAGACACACACACACAGTCAGACACAAACACACACACACAGTCAGACACAAACACACAGACACAAACACACACACAGACACAAACACACAGACACAAACACACAGTCAGACACAAACATACAGTCAGACACAAACACACACATTAACTTTTTTTTAATTTAAATCCCCCCCCAACCTCCTTACCTTTGGGAGTGCTGGGGGAGGGGGTCTCTCTCTCCCTGGTGGTCTAGTGGCTGCCGGTCGGCCTGGCGGCGCTGGCTGCTGTGCGGGCGGCTGGCGAGGGAGCACTTCCTCTGAGCTGACTGCTCAGCTTCCTCGCGCGCCGCACAGTGAGGCTGGGAGCCGGAATATGACGTAATCTTCCGGCTCCCAGCCTCACTCTGCGGCGCGCGAGGGAGCTGAGCAGTCAGCTCAGAGGAAGTGCTCCCTCGCCAGCCGCCCGCCTGCCAGCGCCGCCCGCCCACTCGCTCGGGATGTCAGTTAGCCGCAAGGCTAACTAGGCATTTGCCCTGGGCATTTGGGGGCGGCGTTTTTTGCCGCCCCCTGAAAAATGCCGCCCAAGGCAAATGCCTTGTTTGCCTCGCGGCTAATACGTCCCTGATCACAAGCATACACACATACAACCACAGATATGTGAACATGCAACCACAGAGATATACATTCATAAAAATAGACACACATAACCACAGATACACACACACACACATAACAGGAGACACACATAACCACAGACATACACTATCACAGACATACACACACTCATAGACAAACACACGTACTCACAGACACACAAAACCACAGACACACACACACATAGCCACATACATACACACAAACACAATGATAGACAGATATATATCACAATCAGACACACACACACACACAACACATAGCTACAGACCTACACATAAAACCACAGACATATAAACAAATTGCAGATACACATACATTCACAGACACACAGATAATCAGAGACACACACATAACCACAGACATACACACAATCACACTTATAATCTCAGACATCCACACACTATCATAGACACACACACAAAATCACAGACACATTCATACACAAAATGTTTTATATTTATTAAAAGGTACCCAGCCTCCCTATCTTTCTAAGGAAGTGCTGCACTGGATCCTCTCCCTGGTGGCCAATGGTTGCCTGCTGAGATTGCTGTGTTCATCTTGCACAGGTCCTATCCGTGCTCAGTAATGATGCCAATGCCAGGATGACATCATATCCCAGCTGCTGGTCAATTGCAGGGTGTACGAGAGATACACAGGGAGTGCACAGTAAGTAAAGAGCTCCTTCTCACTCCTGGACCATTAGATTTGGGCAGAGTAGACACCTGCCATGTGGGTAGGCAGGTGCCTATTCTGCCAAGTACAGTTAGTAGTGGGATGTAAATGGGGGGGGGGGGCATAAATAATCGATTGGGAAAGTTGCCTCCCTCTCATTCCCCTGTAGCTACACCATAGGACAAAAGCATTTGCCAACCTCTTAGTCAAGCATTATCTTGTAATATTATAGATGTTAATATGGAGTTGGTCCCTCCATGCTAGTATATATGTCTCTTTTCTCCAGATTAGATTAGCATTTGAAAGAGAATCGAGATAGATTAGATAGAACAGATAGATAGACAGAGACAGATTGCTTGCAATACAATTAAATACACTAGATAAGAAATAATGTTTTGCCCTCTCTCCTGTTTACCTTTTTACATCTTCGCTGGTGGGTTAGGACTTCCTCATGGTTTGTATGGGTTAATAAATTGTTAGTGGTCAAGTGGGATTAATTATAAATCCCTGATGTTCTCTATAATAATATTAATCCCTATGTTCTTAATAACATAGTGGAACTCTATCTGGTGCAGACTATAGTAATAACTCCTTTCAGTCTGGCAGTGAGGAAGTCTAGGAGGCTGTGAATTCTGGCTGATTCGCTCTGACTCTTACATCGAGTGCTGGAAGTGCGAGCAAACAAATAATATGGTCTGCACAAGGCTGATGTGCAGGCCATGAGCTCTGCCACCTGGACATCAGGAACAATTCTTTATGTAATATCTTGCAAATCCTGCAATGTATTTAATAAAAATTGCTCTTTTGATGAGGGAAGCATTATCTTTGGACACTATAACCCCCTGCAAGTGGAGGTTGTGCTGCCTTATGGTAGTGCCAGCCATGAGTGTCCATGATGGGATGAACCTTCGAATGGTGTGCCAGTAGAGACACATATGTGTACCAATTGTGGAACACTTGCCATAGGTTCTCCATCGGTGCAGTAGATAAATATGTCTAGATATAATATACATTTTTAATACAAAGGAATCTTGGCAAATCAGGTGATGGTCCTGAATGTATTTCACTCAAGGTTATGATGTGATAGTAGGCCATGCATAGGTAAGAAAGAAAAAATGGCATATTAAAGATTGAGTAAATCTAGAACCTGATGAGAAAGTCAAGGCTCTAAAGCAGGGATAGGCAACCTTCGGCACTCCAGATGTTTTGGACTACATCCCCCATAATGCTCTTACACCTGTAATGCTGGCAAAGCATCATGGGAGGTGTAGTCCAAAACATCTGCAGTGCCGAAGGTTGCCTATGCCTGCTCTAAAGTAACAGAAAGTCCCCTAATACAGAAGGATTAGGAGAACAACAAAAGAAAATGAAAAAGGGCATAACACAGTATGTGAAAGTGTAAGGATACCTTTATTGCCAACAGCTGTGAACAGCTTAAACTGGTGGAAGTAGGAATCTTTTGTAATTAATTCCTGAGAACATAACTCAGACATGGGGGTTACAAATTCTGTGAATGCCAACTATGCCGAGTATCTCATTTAAGAATTCCTGAAGATAAAACAAACAAACAACAAAAAAACAGTCAGAGGATAGTTTTGTGTCCATCATGACGACCCTTACATTCACTGTCAAAGAATTGGTGTTTCAGCCC